GGGTAGTAATCGGAGGAATCTACAAGATTAGGGAGTTTCCTTTTAACATCTCTAATCCGAGCCCCAGAGAGGCAACAGACCCTGTGGATGGGCCCGGTCGACAGATGGGCCCTTCTGTTCCCCTCAGAAGGGAGTCACCCACCACAATTACCTTCCTTTTCTTCTTGATTGAAGAAGTCCTAAGGACTCGGGGTGACTGATGAGTTCTAGGTGCTTCACTAGATAAGTCTACCCCTCCAACTTCATTTTCCTGTCCCTGAATTTCCAAGGCCTCATCTATTCTTTAAGGGCAATTGGGAGGGTGGAGGGGGTTGGGAGGGTTTTTTCTTGCCTCTCCGAGGTTGGACCTCCCTCCATTCCTTCATGTCTCTTAAGTCCTCTCCTCCTTTCTGGTGACAGGAGGGGAGGGGATCCGTCACTTTCTCAACCTCTTCCATCTGCCCCTGCCTCAGGGTACGACTCCACCAATCTATTTCACTCTCACATTCTCTAATGGTTCTTAATCTTTCAACCTCTTCTGTCAGTTTAACCACCTGCCTGAGGAGATCATTTACTTGCTCACACCGCACACATGCAGTGTCACTGGCTCCCTCTGGAACCAGTGCCAGTACCAAGCTCAGGCATTCACTGCATCCAGAGACCTGCACGGCTGCGTGCCTGCTTGGGAGCTCCGTCTGAGTTCCCACATTCTTTTTCACTAGGGAGCACGCGCCAGTGCGGAGCAGAGAGCGGCAGCGGCACCGGCAGCGGTGAGAGCTGTTCCTTTACATTGCTGAGGATTTGAGAAAGGTAGGGCTGAGGAAAAATTCTGGTCCTGGATGTGGCTCCCAATACCTCTCCTGATTTTTACCTAAGTTTGTCTACTTCAAAATGAATAAAAAGTCCTGGAAGGAAAGACCAGTGCTCATTTCTCTCCTCTGCATTTTCATCTTGTCTAATGTAGCCTGCCTGAGCAGCCTCTGACTCAGCTACACTCAGATACTTTCTTTACGGATCCCAAATTCTCCCTGGATGGAAACAGCTTAAGAGTGTGGACTCATTTAATTGCTTAGGCACCCAAAGTTTAGTGCTCTGTATCTCATGCAGTTTCATTCTTGGTTCTACACTGCAAGTTACTCTCATAAGATACATAAAAGAAAATTTCTGCACTAGAACAGGAAGAAATACTGGATTTTTCAGTATGCTAAATATGGGAAGAACTTCAGGTTGCTAAAGATGTTAATGCAGCTATCCAGCAGTCATTTATTACATTATGCCAGTTAAGAAAAAAGCTGGAACAGGTTGTTCTATCATTCTGTTTGTTCTGGTTCTAACACTAATATAAATAGTGGTTCTATTTTTATTTAGCATTACAATCAGTCCTAGAACTTCAGAATATAAATACATGTTCAGCTCATCTGACAACATTTTCTACATCAAAATTCAGGAACAGGGCTCCTTTGCTGAAGCTGATGTTTAAGACTGAGCGTGTGCTCCTCTTTCCATCCCTGTGTACAGTCATTTTTACTGTATGATATGATCTTATTTTGTGATTACCCATTATATATCCATGGGCATTTTATATTCACCAGTATTTATGGAAATGTTGTGCTCAGCAAAGAAAATTAAGCATACCAGATGGTTGAAGCATTAACATTTTCCACCTCTCACAACAAAATTTTCAAACCAAAAGTAAAAAAAACTGTGTTTATATTTCTTAAAATGGGAAGGAATGGGGGAGTCATGGCACATAGAATCATAGAATCATTAAGGTCGGAAGGGACCTTAAAGATCATCCAGTTACAATCCCCCTGCCATGAGCAGGGACCCCTACCACCTACCACCATGTTGCACAAAACCTCATCCAACCTGGCCTTAGAAACCTCCAGGGATGGGGCATCAACAACCTCCCTGGGTAACCCATTCCAGTTCCTCACCACGCTTAGAGTGAAGAATTTCTTCCTCATATCTAACCTAAATCTCCCCTCTCTCAGTTTAAAACCATTACCCCCTGTCCTATCACTATCTTCTCTGATGAAAAGCCCTTCCCCAGCTTTCCTGTAGCCCCTTTCAAGTACTGGAAGGTGCTATAAGGTCTTCCCAGAGCCTTCTCTTCTCCAGGCTGAACAGCCCCAACTCTCTCAGCCTGTCTTCATAGCATAGGTGTTCCAGGCCTTTGATCATCTTGGTGGCCCTTCTCTGGATCCTCTCCAACAGGTCTGTATCTTTCCTGTGCTGAGGCCACCAGAACTGTACACAGTATTCCAGGTGTGGTCTCACCAGAGCAGAGTAGAGGGGCAGAATCACCTCCCTGGCCCTGATGGCCACACTTCTTTTGATGCAGCCCAGGATGCAGTTGCTCTCTGGGGTCCAGCACACACTGGTGGCTCCTGTCGAGCTTCTCATCAACTAACACCCCCAAGTCTTTCTCCTTAGGGCATTCTTCCCCCAGCCTGTATTTGTGCCTGGGGTTGTGCCAACCCAGGTGCAGGACCTTGCACTTGGCCTTGTTGAACTTCATGAGGTTGGCACTGGCCCACGTCTCCAACCTGTCAAGGTCCCTCTGGATGGGGTCCCTTCCCTCTAGGGTGTCAACCACACCACACAGCTTGGTATCATCAGCAAACTTGCTGAGGATACACTCAATCCCACTGTCCATTTCTCCAACAAAGATGTTGAACAGCACTTGTTCCAATACTGACCCCTGAGGGACACCACTCGCCACCTGCCTCCATTTGGACATTGAGCCATCGACCACAACTCTCTGGGTGCAGCCATCCAGCCAATTTCTTATCCACCGAGTGGTCCATCTGTCAAATCCATGTCGCAGCGCACACAGGTGTTGTCTTTACTGTCACCCTGTAAGAGTGACAGCCTCAGACACTCCCCACAGCCCGTCACCCGCACGTCCCTTGCTCTCCAAGAGCTGCTGGGCCCTGCCGGGTCTCTCCGCGCTCCCACAGGCTCCTCTGGCTCTGGGAACCCCCCTGTACATCTTACATGGGTGAAGTTTGCCCCTAAGGCAGAGCACCCGCCGCAGCCGCTGCCTCCGATCGCTCTCCTCGCACTCTGAGCAGACTGTAGAGTTCTTTGGAAATATCTGTAGGAAAACTTGCCTGGCTTGAACAGAAGCCTTTCAAACTGGATAATGTTTAAATTACCATGAATATAAATAAATGTATTTCATCCCTCCTTTCTTTCCTCATAAAAAGGAAAAAACCAAACAAAAACAAACTCTCTCTGCCAAAAAAAGCCCCTCCTTGCTTTTGTAATTAGCATCCCTTCAAAGCAAAGACCAGTTTGTCACAGAAAGCCTTAGAGATGCTTTTATAGCTTTGAGGCAAGAAATATCCTGAAAAATATTAATATCTTAATCTTCCTGCCAAAATTAAAAAAACAGTAGAGACATGG